CTTTCTCGAAATCTATTACAACATCGGATGGTGAAATAGTTATATTGTTTTGGAAACTATATTCACAAATAGATTTTAAGCAATTAGTGTATGATATTGTACTTTTATCGGAGAGTAAACATATAACGAGTGGTATATAATAACCGTTGATAAAACCATGTATTGTAAACATTTGTGTAAAGTATTTAGGGCAGTATGAAAACGTACCATCCATGTACAACCATTTTGATAACGCAAGAGCTTTTAAATTAGAAATGCAACTGAAAACAACATATTTCAACTCCTTGTTGTTTATTAATAAAAATAACTCATCTCTATTTGTTTGAACACCGCGTTCGTCAAGAATTAATTGAACTTCTTCGATTGATTTAGGGAATGGAGGCAATGTCTTTCTTCTAGCATTATATATATTTCTTTTTATATTACGTACATCACTTACTTGCAAATGTTCCGTTAGTGGCAAATTTTTAATAGCGTTACAAAATATTTTACTTGGTTTGGTACATATATCTTCAGTTGCCTTGCGTTTTACAATACCAGTCACGAATTGTTTTTGGAGGTTTTGATCACTTAAAGATTTATGGTTATGGTTTAAATTTTGTTCAGTGATTATTTCGTCATCACCTACCGTTTTTAAAAATGCTGTGCAAGTTTTAACTGTACATCGCCACTTATCCTCACCCGAACTCAGAGGCCGATTAGTTTTCCGAAATTTAAATTTTTCAATTATTTTCAAGCTTTTTTCGTGCTGCGAAACGAATTGTTCAGCCATCGTGACTTCACTGATTAAACTGAATACGATATGTACTAAGTAGCCCCATGCCGGATGTAGTGATTGATCCATCAGTAGATACCGGTATTACTGCAATAACTATTCGATAACGTGTTGGTATTTTTAGACATCACTATAATTTCTGTGATATAATTGCAAAAGTACACAATCATAGTGACTTTAATAATTCAAAAGTTTTATATATTTTACAAACGGCGCGCAGCTGAATTTGTAAGTACCTTTTAACATAGATAGAAATTTGGGCGCAGTTTACATTATACCTTTTTAATATGGATAACAATTCGGGCGCAGTTTACATTATACCTTTTTAACATAGATAAAAATTCGGGCGCAGCTTACAAAAAAAAAGGTCATTTGGGCGCAGTTTACGTATGCCCGAAAAATGTATTTCAAAAAATGTATACCTAGATATATAGGTACATTTTGAATCTTATTTAGTAGGTTATTAACTGTATTAAATAAGGGGCATAGAGCACTAGTACTTAGACATTTAGAATATAATATCTATATTATGTTGATTTTTTTGGCAACAAAAACTATTAAAAAAATACTTACCGTCGACTTTTATGTATGGGTAGGTAGCCAGGTGGGTACCAAAAACTTATAATTGTTGGGCAATATTGATTATTAAAACGAAATTGTTGTCAACTTAAATTGTGATGATTTAATTGATACATGTCTCGTCAAGGAAAGAATTATGAGAAACAATTTATAGTTTACTATTAATTAATGATATTTCATTTTTTACTTTTTGTAGGATATAATACCTATAACAGATTTTACATTCATGCTTACTTTAGTTCATAAGTTTTTAAGTTTGATGAGGGATGAGGTGAAAAGGCGGCAAATTGGGAAGTGATTGCTGTTGACGGGAAAAACTTAAAAATATTTGCTACTGGGTATATTCTTGTATGCGATACTTGGAATTAACTTTTCAAAAATGAATGGATAGGTATTTACTAGTTTTTACAACGTTTTGAAATATCATATACATATTTAATATCATAAATATATATATATATAATATATATTGATCTGCAAAATCCCACTTTGGGACTAAGTCAACATTTTAAACATTATAATAATCGCACTCAAACCTTCCAGACGAAATGTCTCCGCTTTTCCACCAAAAACTTTATATAATGTCTCAAACCACTTACCTACTTCACTTAACACAGATTGTTTAAAATAATGATAAATGTTATAACAATATAAATACATTTGCGAACCTGCTTAAAAAAATCAAATAAGAATATAACATACTTCATTGTCTCTTCTACGTTTGGCCTCTCTGGACTTTTTAGCCGCCATGTTGTTCCTCTTTCTCTTTTCGTAATATTTAGCGTCTTTTTTTTCTCTCGGAGTATCTGTCTTCAGACGTCGAAGTTGCATCTGTTGCACACCATATATTTTACAATCACACACATAACCATGCAATTTGTCATTTTCTAAAAAATAATTTAATTGAATTACTAAACGTACTAAAATATGTATAACACAATGAATTATGAGAAGAGGTATGATACCTACTGCTATAATTACTTTGTATGTTGCAGGACGGACAATTTGTTGTCGAATTATTTTGACCGAAACTCAATGAATCCATTCAGTTGCTAGATTTTATGCTTGGTTTTATAGGGTTTACTTATGGAAACTGCCCTTTTGCTGCCAATAATAAACATTAAAATAAATACTATAAAGCTACGAAAAGTTATTTTTAAATTGGAAATACAACATCAACCACTTTATACAGGGTGAATCGTACCAAGCATGCTTATTGCTCACCCCCGCTTTTTTGTCCAACAAAGGATTTAATCAAATTTTGATTTAAAGTATAGGTAAATCGTACATAATGACTTTAATATCAAATATTTAGAGTTCAAACGAGTGGGTTATGAGTTATTTTACTTTGTGTATTAAGGGCACATAATAGGTCTATGATAATAAGTTTTGAAGACATATAATGGAAGTTAATGAGCTGTAATATGATGGTTTAAGATAGTATAACCATTATTATTAATGTATTAATATTTTGTACTTGGTAAAAATGTTCTGAGTATAATAAGACGTACTAGATTGAGTATACTAGTTTCCCTGTATAAAACATTAAAGACATTATAAACCGATAGATGTAATATATTATAAATTTTAGTGTAAACTGTGTAGGCTATTAAGTAATATCTAAACGTAAACATATTTTTATATTTGGTAATAATATTGATAATATATACTATATACAATATAGTTGAATATAATACTTATATACTATATTTAGGTTATACATCTAGACTGTTACTTGGTGGCTGGTGATTCATATACCTATCTAAAGTACCAATGTCCTATATATTACCTAACTATTTGACCATTGTTATGACTCCATGGTGTACACATAAATTACCAATGGGGAAAGGTTTATTTATAAATATGTACTTTAAAAACATTTACAAAGTAAAAGAATGAGTAGAGACAGGAACCCGGAGGAGGGTAGGTTTGAACACTAAACTTTCCTCTGCGAGTGCGTCACTGTCATATGAATTGAGTAAGCTGATTGTATACCTATTTATCTATCTATATATATAAGAATCTAACTTGATTTTGGAGACGAAGGAAACCGGTTTTGAACCCTCCTTATAAATTATAATAATAATAATAATTAACTAATTACCAATTATTTTCATATATTCACCGATAACGATGTCTGTTCCTTTTTTTTTATTTTATTTTTTATTTTATAATCGTTGTATTATTTGCATAGCCAAAATATAGTCTTATGTTTTTAAATTAAATTATAAAAAAATAATTTCTTCCGGAGGAAGGTCGGGCAGCTAGTATGATATAGACATCTTAATAATAAACGACTAGGTACAGACTAACCCATTATAATGATAAATATTTTAATTAAAATCTGTCTATATTCTACTAAAATCAATAATATTTAATCTTTCTGTATCGATTACCTTCATCTAATTAATAATAACATATAACAATGTAACATATTATCTGCAAAAGAGGATTTTTCGCATCAATAAATTGGTATAGGTGAGTGAGTCCAACCATTTTTTGTTGTCTCGTATACATGCCGTGTGTTCCTAAACTTTTGCATAATATTGTTATCAAATCCATCGGGTTTCATTTCAGTTAGGTTAGAATAGCAGATTGCTGATAAGTCAATCGGCTTGATTACCTTCCCTCCAGCGGCTGACCAATCTGATGAATTTAGGAACACACGGATAATTGAGTTCGCGCTGCCATCGGCATCGAGTCTTTGAGTGTATACAATTATATAAAAGTCAAATATTCATGCAGTACCTACATCCCTCACTATGTTTGGATTTTAGATTGACAATATTGATTGTTAAAAATGTATAATTAAAATGTTTAAATGGATACCTTGGGTTTTTTTAATGTCTTATAATTTTAAATTACCTTACAATATTATAGAAGTACCTATGCGTTGGAATTAAAAGCGGTTATACCTATAAGTATAGGTAATAATATTTTAACAAATCTCTGCCATTTAACTGCACTTTAACTTACCAACTTTTATTGTTAGTTTTATCACTGCCTATATCAGATATTCGTGAACGACTGTAGACTGTACATAACTATGAAGGAAAGCAGATACCGCTATACGAATTTGAGAATCAGGGGTAATGACTAATGACTGCTCGTTTGGTAGCAATATTTTGCTTTAATTTGTACAACGCTCATAAATATAAATGTATTTTTTTTTTATTTTATTACATATATTTTAACGTCATTTTTTTACTCCTATATTATGTATGAATAAAAATTAATAATATCTGTATAGTGTATAATATATAGGTACGTTATGTTATATTATTGTGGTATTCAATGGTTTACGTCTATACACGGTGAGTGATGACTGCATAGCCACCTATAGATGCATAATAATATGTCAGCTTGCACGCGAGCGCAATAATTATCAGTCGAGAAACAAAACACCATAATCATTTGTAACCAGGTCTAAATTACACCCTGTACTAATTTTATAGTTTTAGGGATAGACATTGTATTATGGTAATTTTCTATGCCACTTTTTATTGCCGTATTACAATGACTATATTTTCCAATGCCTGTTATTCGTCGTACCTACACACTAACATTTATCGACGGCGACATCGAACAAGAACACGAAATTTAATAATTACCAATTTACCCTATTTCTATTATAAATGTATATTATATGAGACACGAGTTTTATAAATCGCATAACATGCATCAAAAAAAAGATTCAATTGCGAAAACCCTACAATTATCATATTATATATTTTTACATATAGTACCTATATATTAGCCATTCTAAATTCTAATATTATGCCAATATGCCATAACACATAATACGATAAATATCTATAATAGGTACATAAATACATAATAATAACATAAATATATAACAAGTATCCTTACCTACATGATATTTGACATGCATGTATAATTATAATCAATGTCACATGATGAATTATTATTATCCTATCAACCGATGAGTTTCAAGTATTCCGTATTATAACAACAACATTTCTTTTTAGAAATTTTAAAATTTTTAATGCATTTTTTAATTTGTTGAGACAATTTTTAATCTATTTATCGTGATATGACTAAAAAAAAATTGAATTCATTGAAATAAAACATAGTACCCCGTAATTTAAATCATTTTAATTTTGAATTATATAACCATAGCTTAGCTCCCCCCTCCAAACTAATCCGTAATGAGTGAGTGAGTGTACGGTATTTTAGTAAAAAAAAATTAGGTCAAAATTGACCCAGGCTGCAGAGGACCATTGGGTACTATGCCTCCACACAAAAAAAATAAGCCATCCTAGGTAAGTGTAATACCTATAGGTATATAGCTATAGAGTCCATGGACTATAAGAGCTATCAGCACATTTTTGGGAAAAATATAGATTTAATAACCTGAAATACAATTTAAAATATAAAAAGGGGCACCTAGCTTGATTCTGCCCCTGGCCCCAAAATATCTCTGAACGGGCCTAAATCGGAGTGTTATAGGTAACCACTAACCGATGATACCATTATTGATATTGTAACCTTACAGTGTCTAAAAAAAAAAATTGAGTGGTTTATATTATAGGCGACCTGCTATAATATGGAGCTCTACAGGTTCCCCTGCAGGGCTCTGAAAAATCAACCATCTACCCGTATTCTGCAGTGTCTATATAGACTAAAGTATTTGTATTTTGTTTGTCATTAGAGCTGTACCAGATCACAACTGTAGTTCAGTACTCGGGGTCTGGTTGTATTGAAAGTTCAGCTTGGGTTAAGGGTTTTAATGGGGTTTAAAGTGTAAAAGTTTTTGCAAAAGATGCAACACAGTGTGGAAAAGATTATCTTCTCTACAACCGTGGTTTGTGACAATAACCACTGACCACTGCTACCGACTAAGTCAATGGACGGATCGTGGCAGGAGGTATGGACCATGGACCTAGCCCCCCCCCCCCCAACAGACATATTGTTTATCCATTTTTTTTCCATTCTATAGAGCTTGATATTACTATATTCAATTTGAAATTTGTTATTTAATAAATACCTAATCAATAACTTATTTATTACATTAAGATCATACTAATATTGGGAAAACAATTTTAAATTAAGAATAAAGTTTGTATTGTAATTGTAATTGTTGTAACAAAAAATTGTTTCCCCCCCTCACCCCCACCGGATCTTTGCTGTGGATAATATTGTACACTCAAATTCAATTATTTAGTATACGAGTTGAAAACCCAAAGCGCTAGCAGTATTGATTATAGTATCAGTAATCACATAATTTTTATCAAAAAATACAAGCTATTATCATATTTTTTTTCTAAGCAATGCTTTCATGTTTCTTTAATGAAAATCTGGATTAATAGCATAAATGATTATATTCAATTTTGTTTTGCGCGTTTGAAGTTTGTTTTCAATTTATGAAACTATAAGAATTGAATTGTTTTAATAACAAGTTTCTATTATGTCGAAAATATTTACCCCGACTAATCAAATTCGTCTAACTAATGTGGCTGTCGTTCGGATGAAAAAAAACGGTAAACGATTCGAAATAGCATGCTATAAGAATAAAGTAGTTTCGTGGAGGAATGGCATGTATGTTGAAAAACCGGGTTATAATACTTGTTGTTTAGACAAAATTAAATATTTTCTTGCTCTTTTGCTTCTATAGTGAAAAAGATATTGATGAGGTGTTACAAACACATTCAGTGTTCACTAACGTATCCAAAGGCCAAGTGGCCAAAAAAGAAGATTTACAAAAGATTTTTGACACTGATAACTCAACCGATATTTGCAAACACATATTAGAAAAAGGAGAGTTACAGATTTCTGATAAAGAAAGATCTGCTCAATTGGATGCATCTTATAAAGATATTGCCACTATTGTTGCAGGTAATAAAAAAAAATAATAGAAATAAATGTGCAATATAAATTTTAATATTGAATGATACTTTTATTTCCAGATAAATGTGTTAACCCTGAAACTAAAAGACCATATTCTGTTACCATGATAGAAAAAGCAATGAAAGATGTACATTATTCAGTAAAACCAAATCGAAACTCTAAACAACAAGTAAATACTAATTGCTTGATAGACTTCTAATATTCTCAATCTCTAATAAATAATAATCAATAAATATGTTATGAACAGGCTCTTGATGTCATTCGTTTGATCAAGACTGTACTTCCACTTGATAGAGCTATGATGAGGCTCAAAGTTGAATCAACGAGCAAAGATGCAAAAAAATTAAAAGAAAAATTTGTTGCTTTAGCATCATCTGTGGAGTCTGAAAATTGGGATTCTGGAGAAATTACTTTGGTATTACGAAAATATTATTATTACTTGTAAAAAATATTTAAAAAAAATTAATGTGTTAATTGTGTTGTTATGTAGATACTACTTATTGATCCTGGAAATTATAGACAAATAGATGAACTTGTGAGATCAGATTCCAAAGGTACTACTCAAATGGAAGTTCTTAGTTTAAAAGAAGTTGTAGAAGGAGACACTTTTTTGGATTGAAGGCTTTAGGTTGTTGTCTTGTGTAGAGACTTAATCAACTATCATTAATGTATTACTGTTGTTATTTTTTTTGAAGAACTGATAATTTATAATTGGTTATTTTATTACATTTAAAAAACAATTGATAAGTTTGTGTATACTGTTAATATTGTAGACTATAAGATAATATTATATGTCTATGGTTAATATAATGTATATATTTTTGCAATATAATATGTACGCAATGGTAATGTCTAAAAATGCATAGGTAATAATAAAACCTCTTAATATTAAAAACAAATCAATTTAGCATAGTTTGAATTTGTTCCTGCTACAGTCTTGAATTTTCACGGCATCATTGTCTTGGCCTTGTATCCATAAATACTATTTTCCAAACAATAAAAACATTATTTTAATATTTTTAAACAGTATCAAATATTAAATTAATTTGTCATAATTTATAAAAATAAATAATTAGAGAAAAAAAAATAAAAAATATTTTGTGAAATTGTGAACCCAACATACATTTAAATGCACCTTAATACCTCATATTTAAAAATATTTCTTCGGGGGTTTTTTTTTTCAAAATTTCAATGGTCTATCTAATCTAGAAAATGTGATATATTGAATCCCATTTGAATTTACGATAATAGAAACAAATTATTTATTAGTTGGTTCTAATTTAAAATTTAAATGTTTATGCTAACTTTCTAAACTATAATGACCTATTACTTATTTCAATATTCGGTGTTATGCCACCATTGGTACTATTTAAATAATTAAAAAATGTAACTAGTGTTATAATTGGCATTTTCAATTTTCAATCAAAATGAAGGCGCTGCCAAATATATCTAACTGGAATTCTGAATAAATAAAAGGAAAAATGGTACATATTTAAGATATTATTAAATTATTTATACTTAACTACATAAACTACTTAAAGTTGGATCATAATTATTGTTATCTAAAATTAACTACATTTTAGAGTATATAATTTTTTACTATATGTACCAGTATTTATTTCATCTTCAAATTGTTTCCATTTAATTCTTTCTGGAAATTCTTTATCTTTATACATTAATAACAATACAGATAGTTCTGCCTCAGGATAGTACATTAAGCGTAATGAACTAACTCCAATCATGTCTAGACACCTACGGAATTGTGCTACAGTTACATGTCCTTTTCCGTGAGGATCAAATGTCTACATAAAACGTAATAGTTAATAAATATAAATTCCCAAATTAGCTTGTCAGTTTTTTACTTTAAAAAATTGTCCAATATCAATTCGATTTGAGAAAACGTAATTTTGAAGGTTTCTTATTATTATCAATACATTATCTTTTATATGTGCTTTATTTGTTATTACTGGGTGATTAATGTTTTTATTACAATATGATCTTGCACCTTTTTCTTTAATTTTGTCTTTTACCTTTGCAATTGAAATTATATTATTTAATACCTAATTATAATTTTGTTTGTTAACCCAAATAAATTAATAATTAATATAATTTTTTATGCAATGAAATTTTACTAATGTCTACAGTCTACTGGAACTTCAGATTAGTTTTGGTTTTATTTTATTTTAATTTATTTAAGAGGACGCTACTCAACCATTTGTTGTCTCCGTCTTACAAATGTGTAACATAGCACATTTACGCTCAGCAGATTACATTTAATTAATAATTCCGTTACATTAAAAATTAAAGTGAATCGACCTATTATGTATGTGTCAGGATTTTTTACTATAGTTCAATTTTTAAGGAGTTATGAGCATTTCTAATTTAAGCTATTCTATAATTTACACACACTAAATTTGCTTACCAATAGCAAGTTTCATAATAAGTCGATTCACTCTAAAATTTGTGTTAATTATATATAGGTAACTAAAAACGTTTAAAAAAAAAAATAGTTGAAATTACCGAACAGGTATGAATGTATGATAATAATTTATAATACTCACATCAGTAGACATTGATTGTAGGTTATTTTTTTTCACCCAGTTCAATTCATCTAAAAATGTTTTAATGTTAGTCTAATGACCATTGATCGAGACTAAGTTCTAACAAATGCATATTTTTTTGGTAAGTCTTTTGAACATCCAGAGTAAGATCCAAATAAAAGATAATAATCCAAATTGCCTGATGGCCTGATTTCGTTTAGGTACAAAATTATAATTAGCTAACTTTTGCATGTTCATAGTTTTTAGAGCTATTTTACTTTTTCTAATTTTAAGTACCTACTATTTTTTGATATTTTCACCTATGTTCTGACCTACATTAAGCATGAAATCTAAAATACATTTTGTTGAATATTTTTTTATTTGCTCATCGATAATGTCAAAAATTAGAATTTGAAATTTATTAGAAAATCTCACATAGGTACTGAAATTAATTTTTAGTAAAGGAACAGCCAGTAGGTACCTAATTCATGAACTGTGGTCACCTCATATAAGTTACCATGTAGGTACCTCCTAATAGTCCTAACTATAAATTAAATAATTAAAACGAATTTGTGAAAAAATGAATGATTCACTAGATGTGCACTTTGTAGCTTAATATATTGTGTACCTAGATATAGCAGAGTTTCAAAACGTTGTAACCAGTGGCGCACAGAAGTATTTTGAGAGCACATGCAACTAACAAAAGTGACCCACCCACCCACCCATTTTTTATTTAAAAAAACGTTCTTTTGAACTGTTATTATTTTTTTACTTATACTTTATCTAGGTACCTATAACCATAGGCGTCTATACCTCCCTACCCACCCACCCACCCACCACGAGAGCACATGCAGCGTTGCACCCCTTGCTAACCTATCTGGGCGCCACTGGTTGTAACTGAAAAAATGTTCAAACAATTATATTCGTAAAATTGTTGACCAGAGGCCAAAGGGCCGATGATAATATATATGAGCACCAGGGGAGGACTGGGATCAATTTGAAAAAAATGATAAAAATTTGCCACTATACTATTACAAACTTAACTTCTATAATTTAATTTTTGACTTTTGGTTACACACGGCTCCCCATAATCAACAGGTGGGTGATAAATGTTTTTAAAATTTGTGTTTGAGGTAATATTAATATTTTTTTATATACGCTGTACTCGAAATTATAAGCCACAGTTAATTCTACAGTTTAGAAAATGAGATGCACTACTACGATTCCACTTAGATACATTACAATTTAACATTTAAACAGCAAACTACCCTACTCACGCGGTTTTTAGTTGGGTTTGGTGAAATTTAATCAAACCTAACGCTGTCAACGACATTAACCGGTATTATTATTATTTTGGTTATTTAAATTAATTCGATAACAGCTATCTACTGCCGCCAAATCATTTCGAACTCTTACGCCAACTTACTGGCCATCGCCAGCCACTCGATTTCCTAGTTAGATAGCGCTGCCATGTATACGATTTACAACGATGTGGATGTGGATAAAGCTCCATCAGATTACTTTTTGATGGTAGACTCATTGAAGAGTTTCAGATAAAATGTGATTGAGCAGAGTCGATGTTAGTCCACTGTCCACTACCGTATAAGATGTTCATAATTGATGTCGTAAAAAAATCGTTAAAAATATTATACCAAGTGGATTATTTTTTACCAGCCTCGGTAATTTTACAATTTGTACTTACACATATTAGTTATTACTTATTAGTTACTAGGTAGTCGGTACATTGAAAACAGCAAAATAAGTTATGTGCCTCCTTACACCTACAATATATTAATGGACACCTTATAGTCCTTATACGTATACCTTATATACGCGTATGAATTGTCTTATAAGCTCATACCGTCATTATGTATAATTTCACAAAATTGCCCGTACGGTACTTGTCCATCGGAATCAACAAAATAGCTGACTAAAAATTGTATCTCTCCGTCATTCAACTTGATGATAGATTTTAATGGTCCAGACAATGCATTTTCGAATATAATATCTCAAACAAGAGAAAAAGAAAAAAATACTTAATTTATTGTACAGGCATTCAACTTAAATATAAATGGAATGCTTGAGTATAATTACCTGTTACAAATCCAGTGTTTTTTACATCGTATATTGAATAATATTCCCAAAAATTAAATTTGATGAAATTCACTACTTCGCGAATTTTGTTACAAATTGTCCAAAAATCTCTATTAACTTTAGATGTGTGCTAAAAATAAAATATTAATATTAAGCTTTATCTAAATTATATAAGTTATAAATACGACTACTAACCTAACCTATTACATTTCAATATTTGCACATATTTAATACGTGCAAATATTGAAATAAAATACATAAACATAAACCAATAAATTACCTTCATTAAACTGTTGTAAATTTTTAATTAATTAAAATTCCAAAAATTATGCTAGTAAATAATAAAATAACTATTGGCAATTATATAATAGTATGTTTACAAATAATAATTATGACTTATGAAAATAATGCAAAATGTACACTGCAGATATTATAAGTTATTATTGGCCAAATGCAATTATTGTGAAACAATAATTTTCCAAGGATCTATGTAATATGAATATTTGACGCCTATATACATAGGTACAGACTACAGGGTGATTCAAAAACGATTAACAGTAGGTACTTGAAACTTTCACCAAATGGTAAACGTCATCATTATCCATACATTGTAAAATATACCAAAGTCCAAGTATTCTGAGCGGAATGATGAATGTACCTTTGCTTTTACTATGATGTGTGTTTTTTATTATTTTTTTTCTGTCTGCATTACATTTTATACTTTTTGAATATATTATTACATAGTATATATTTTTAAATATTACTATTTTAGACATATGACATTTTCGATTTTATGTAATTTTTCATACTTAATGTCGATATATTCATTTGGTCAAAAAATTGAAAAATTGAATTCAATAGGTTGTTTATAAGTTGTTCACATCAAACAATTTTAAAAAATATCGAAAATTCATAGCCAACAATATTTTTTTATAAGCGTTAGAAGTTAGAATTTTGATGAAAATTAGAAAATTCAGTTGAAAAATGTGCATATTATTTTATGAGAAAACAAGAATTTTCTTTTCATATCTAAGATTCAATAAAAATTAAAAAATTTAATACAACATTTCTATAAGTTTTTCTACCTATACCAAAAAAAAATTAATCAGATAAGCTTTTGAAGTTCAAAGTAACAATTTAGAAATATTAAAGTTACCTATATTGACATGATTTTTTTGATGAATGTCATGTTAACATCAATTAGTAAAAAGGAGGATGGTGGCAGAGCCCCCCCCCCTCCCACGAAACTCCACATTGAAAATTTTTAGCAGGGCTTCAGGCTTCAGCTCATCCTACGACTAGGGGTTCCCACTTAAAATTTTATTGTTCTCAACAAAAATTACGATTCACTAAATTATTATATAATGTATTATGTATACCTATATACTATATTAAGTGAGTTGTGAAAGTTACATTCACACAGACACAACAATTATAAATATAATGTAAATAAAATATTATAATTTGAGATTTGACTGCAGCTCTACGTATTACGTCGAATTTTAATATGTGTAGAACGAATAGCCGGTAGGTAGGTACAATAAAATAATGTCAATAATCATTGATCAGTATTATAAACAATTTATATTTAGACACCTATTTGATAATGATTCCGAATAATTCTCCTTAGAAGTCTATCTTAAACCGTGCCTTAGAGTAATAATAATAATAATTGAAATCCAACGCTCAGAATACCCCCGCCCCTTATATAGACGAAATATATTTCATCAATTTATTCAGCTGTGGTCAACTGTCAATTATCTTTCTAAATTTAACGGTCGAAGAGGAATTTGGGGATCCAATAAAAAATGGTACACTTATATATAATGTCTTTGTTCCGTTCACCTGTTGACTGTTGCGACACATGATCCCCTCCACATAGACCCGCTACGCTAATAAAGTCATAACAAGATTATTTACTATATATTACAAAATACACTATATTGATAGTACCGTACGAAAACACAAACAATGGGTTGGGTGTAGGATTTCAAATAGTTTAAAAAACATTTTTCTTGTAGTTTAGTTAAAGAATTTCGTTCGGTTTTTGTTGTTTTTTTTTTATCGTTTGTGTAAAACCATTTGAACTAGAAAATTTGTTTCGATACTTTACTAATTTAAATTATGTGATATTAAAATATAATGGCTTTAACAACAGTGAAATTACTGGGCCTATTTCACTTTATTCAGGTATTCGCATTTCATATACATGCCGATTATACTTGGACAAATGAACTTAAATCTAATAAAGGCTATACGGAATGGCCCGGAGGAATTGTTGCTAATCATCATCGTTTAAGGGCCGATCAAAGCCCTTACTTCATTTTAAACAATGTTATTATTGAAGATACTGGTCAGCTTATTATAGATCCAGGTGTAATACTTAAATTTTCACCGAAAACCGGGATCACCGTTAAAGGATCAATTATTGCTAATGTAATGTATTTGAAAAATAATCTAATAAACAAACATGTAAACTTACACCATTAAAACATTTTGTAGGGAGATGCTCATAACAAAATTGTAATGACATCTAGTGCTAATGTAGAAGACACAGACGATGCTTTAAGTCAGTCTTCTTCAAATATAAGACTTGTAGATGGTCCTAGTATACTAGCTGGACGTTTACAGTTATTTTATAAAGGTGCTTGGAGATCAGTTTGCACATCAACACAGTAAGGAAGTTCTAATAAGCGTAATTAGCAGTAAGTTGCCAAATGATTTAACTAAACGCTCTCATTTTAAATGCACAGATGGAACAATGCAGACCTCCAAACAACGTGTAGGCATTTGGGTTATCGCGGAGGTAAATTCTTACGTTGGATGGAACCCAAAGTAGACAAGCTTCATACGCGTCTTCTATTGTCTAATCTACAATGTGAAGGGATTGAAAATGATTTAAATAGTTGCAGCGGATGGGAAAACAAAAAATTAGGATCTGGGAGCTGTGGTTCGTTGAAGTGTCTATAACAATTACTAATACAATTATATTTTTAAATATATGACTCATCGTTAATGAATCATCTTTAATCTCAAAGTATTTATTTAAACATAATTTTCAGATCTTAAGCAAGATATTGCTATTGAATGTCAACCATATTATGAAAACAGCTTTGCTGTAAAAAGTTATTGGAGAGGTCTCAAATTTGAAAAAGCTCAGTTCAAAAAATCATTAATAAATCATAACACCCTATATCAACCAGTATCTCTATCTGAACTGAATCATGTTATATTAACGTATGTAATTTATTAATTTTAAATAAAATTAATGATCATTAATTCAGTGGCATTTTTTTAAGGGGGGGGGGGGTACATTTACATCATCTAATTTTTAAAAGCATTTGGATGATTTAGGCAATATTTTGCCTTCTGTATGTTTTGCCCCTGTTTAGTTTGTAATTACGCCACTGGATTGATAATCTTAATATTTTTATTGTTTAGTACCTATATGGTTTTTTTATGATGTTTTAGGTATGCTGGTGTTGGTGCTGAGTTTAAATCTACTTCAGTCATAGAAGTTGATGGAGTACCACCGTTATTAAGGAATGTATCAATATTACATTCTGCATATAATGGAATTAACATAACGACATCAGATTCTATACTAGATTTACAAGACTGTATCATAAAAAATAATAGAGGTACTATATTATTGTGTATTAAATACATTTTTTTTAAAACTAATAATCCTATTGTTTATACATCAATGTGTTGGTAACAAAATAAATTATTAATTGTTAATTTTTCAAAAATATTGACCCATATATTTATTTTTGATTTATTTTCAGGACATGGTATTTTTATGAATTCATCTTTTGGTCAATTGAGTTTAATGAAAACTTTGGTGTCTAACAACAAAGGAGATGGCATACATATGGTTCAAGGCAATGTCAATCATGATCTCATGAGCAATGTTAACGAATTGTGTTCTCTTCCAACAACAACTAGTCAAACATTTCCTGTTCTTGTTTCTGTTCAACAAAATAGTTATAACGCTAAACAAATTAACTGCTATAAAGTACATATAATTTTATTTTAGAGTATACTATTGACATTTAATAATCTATATATTTTTAATTGCAGAGCTTATTCACTAAAATTGGACAAGTTTTAACTGTGAACATTGAACATACCCGTTCTCAACAACTTGACAACAATTCATTTATATACATTTATGATGGAGAAGTATCAACTCCTGATAGGTATTTTTCATAAATTTGATAATTATTAAGCTATATTATGTTATTAAATATACAATATTTATTTTTAGGCTTTTAGCTACTATTTCTGTTCTCAACAATACTGTACCACAATCAGTAACATCAAGTCGTAACAACATATTAATTCAATTTTCTGCCCCGGCTAGAACAAATGTATTCGGTCTTCTCAGAGTAACATCAGGATTTGGTAAGATCAAATTATTAATATTTGTTGATTAGATAAATTATTTAATTTAAATTATCTCATATTTTTTTAGTGAAATGGCATAGTATCAATATATCTGAAAGTATTCTATCTGATAATATTGGCTCTGGATTATTTGTTGAGAATTTATATAGCGCTGTGTCAATATTCAATTCTTCAGTGCACAACAATAGTGGAAGTGCTGGAGTCAATATTTTTAATGGTTCTGCTGACCTAACTATATTAGGTTCAGATATAGTGTATAATAATGGATTTGGAATTTTAACAAATACTAATGGCGGAGTACGCAACGTTACTTATTCATTAATCAAGTCAAATTTTGGACCAGGAATAGCTGTTCGATTATTAGACAAAACAATCAGCAACGTACCACAGAAAACAATTTTAACATATTCTCAAATTAATAACAACACAGTAGAAATTGATGGATGGTGTCATGGAAAATCACAGATCAATGTCACAGGGAATGTTTTTGGTTTCAGCATTTATGCATTAGAAATAAAATCATGTATTGAACGACAAGCTACCACAACTCATGTAATTATATCGTACAATGAATTTTTTAATAATAAGAAGCTGGCAGTACTTATTAGACCAATGCTTAACATGGATGCAATTTTGGAGTTCAATCGATTCAAAAAACAAGAGTATGGTTGTATATTAATTAGGAATGAACATTTTGATGAAGATTTTGATGAATCACCTACAAATGCTTTACTGAGATATAATGAATTTTATGATAATAGTGGAAGTTATGTAGTTAATTTGGGATTAAGTACTTATAGTCAACTACAAAATTTGCTATTCACATGGAATTATTTAAAGAATAATAAAATAACTCAACCTTTTAAGTTGGTTTCA